GCCTCCCAGAGAGCTAGGATTACAGGCGTGAGCCACCGCCCCTGGCCAAATTTAAAACATTTTAGGCCAGGCGTGGTTGTGCATGGCTGTAGTCCTAGCTACCTGAGGATGAGGCAGGAAGATATCTCAAACCCAGGAGTTCAAGGCCACAGTGAGCTATGATGACACCACTGCACTGCAGCCAGAGGAAGACCGTGTCTCAAAAAAAAAAAAAAAAAAGAAAAAACATATTTAATCCCCCCCCCAACATGAGAACAGTATTACTTTCAGTACCTGTTGACTCCATAAAACTCCTAAATTACAACAGTCATCTACATACACTGGAAAAACAGTAGTATCTACTGTGTGAGATATGATTGGTTCTGGGTGATGCCTGGAGACCACATGAATTTGGAAAGACCCCTCCAATGATTCTGAACTTCCCAGGAATCCAGGGCCCATAAATTGGCAACCATTGATTGGACTAGTGAGTTTTTACAGAAATCAGGCTGCCCGCAATCTGATGACATGGTTTAAAAAGGGAGAGGGGGAGATGTCACTTCATTCAACTAAGGTGATTAACTTATTTCAGTTTAATAAACGTTTGTGTCTGCTTAGGATGTGCTAGGCACCGTGCTAGGAGATGGATACGGCCATGATCTGATTAGTGGAGGAAATCCCAATGAGTATCTTCCAGAACATGAGGTTAGGGCCACGTCGGAAGACTGCACAGAGTGCTACTGAAGCACAGAAGTCAGTCAGTGGCTTCTCGAAAACACACACACCGGCGGAAATAAAAAGTCGTTATATATCAGCATAGTGTCAAGAACACTGGCAGGGAGTTAGAAGAGCTGAGCTCTACGAACGCTTTGAAACTCAACAGCTGTGTGATTTCAAAAAAAAATATTTTTCTTCTCTACTACATTTTAAATATGTCTCTCTGTTTCTTTTTGGTGGGAAAAAATAAAGAACGATTTGGAGTCGACAGATCCGGCTCTGGGTCTAAGTCACCTGCTGGGACAACCCGGCCAGGAAACCTCTCCCCGCCGCCTTCCCTCCCTGTCCGGGACCTCTGCGCGGATTCACCCCGCGACACGGAGCGCCCCTCCGGCAGGAACGAAGCACGTCTGCCCAGCGCACGAGGCCCTCCCTGGGAGCAAAGACCGCCCGAGAGGACCCTCCACGCGGCGACTCGTAACGCTCCAGAGCCCCAGCCCCAGGGACCCTGCTGCAGTTACCGGGCTCACAACTGCCGCTCCTCACGCTCGCATGGACACCGCCGGAAACAGAAGTTCGCCTTCGCGCTGACTCGCCGGAGGGAAACGAAGGCAGAAAGAAATAGAACGACGGGGTGAGGGGACGACTTTCAGGGGAGAGCAGGAAGGAAGGCTCGTGATTGGCTGAGTGCGGCGCAGGCGCCGTAGGAGCGGCGTGCGCCATGGGAACCTCGCCCCGCCGGGACTTCCAACCCCGGGAATGCTCCGTCCTGGCTACGGCGGCACCGCCTCACGGCGGATCCCGCGGTGGGACTCCCGAGCAGCGCGTCCCCGCTGACGGCCAGGGCGACCGTGCGGCCTGCTGGTGGTTACTCGGTGCGGGCAAAAGCCGGAAGGAGACATTTAGTCCTGGTTACCCCGGGGTCGCCGGGCTCGTGCCCTCCGAAAGCCCCGGGCCCGCTGTTCCCCGGCGCGCCCCTGGGCTGTCACTCGATTGTGCGTCCACTTGCTCATCCTTAAGAGGACAAAGCTGGGGGGCTTCTCGGATTCTTTAGTGCTCTAAGACCCTCCTTCGCCCGGATCGACAGACTCCGGCTGCGGGGATAAACCCTGACCCGACCGGAAATGCCTCGCCTTTCTCTGGTCCCGGGAAAGGGGCTTTCCGTGACAAAACGCAGGATCTTGCAGCTTTCTTCGTGCGAAGCTTTGCCTTCCCGGAGCTCCGCCCATTTCACCTAAGGAGATGATTTGGAGTTAGCTGCTTGAGATGCCTGCAAAGCTTGGCACGTTGTCAGAACATGTATTAACGTCTCCTCTGGTCCCGTGTAGCCCACTCTCGTCCTCTGCCTTAGCTTCTCGCTTCCCCTATGATCAGACCTTAGACCTTGTCGGGTCCAAGGACTGCAACCCCCCGCGTCCTCCCACTCTGACCACCACCTCCTGTCTTTCCACGTTTCTCCCTCTAGTGCCCTGAAACCAGAACTCCGGTAACCTGACCAGCACCTGCAATCCAGATCTTACTGCCTGCTCTCTGTTTCCTCCTCCCTTCATGACTTCTCCCTCTCTAGTTGCTAACTGCAACTCCGCGGTTCGTCATTCTCGTTCGTCCCTTGCGCACTTCCTCAACGCATCCACCGCCCTGTCACGTCGTTACATCTGCTTGGCAAGGTGAGGGCGCTGGATAAACCAATTTTCTATCTAGTCCATGCTACAGCACTGCAACTAAACATGGCTAGAGGAAAACATGACCATGCCAGCGGTCCTCACCTTAATAATTCTATCTTCGGAGCTTCTTACTACTTGGTTTGAAGTTTTCAGGATTTTGTTCTATACTTTCTCTTATTATATGACAACAAGCTTTTAAATTTTTCCAAACTTGGTCTGACTTTATTTTTGACGTAGCAAAAATTGTTTCTTAAGGCTTCTCCTTTCTTTTTCTTTCTTTCCTCCCCCATCTCCCTTCCTCTTTCCCTCTCACTCACCTTCTCTCTCCCCCACACCTCTGGGGTATAGGAAGAAATAAAGATAAAACTACAAGTAATAATAATAATAATAATTCTGTCTTTGCCTGGTCTATTCAATCTCCCAATGAAAATTTCAAATGAAAAGGAAAATTTCACACCTCCTCTATCTTCGATCCTTTCCACCACCTCTCCCTTCCTTCCTTCCTACCTCTCTTCCACAGACTGCCCCTCCACATCTCCTGCCCCTGCCGCCAGCCTGTTACTGTAGATCAACCACTGCTGTGTCCACCCAAAGAATCCTGCACTGGACTGCTGCATCCCATCATCCCTTACTGCTCCACGGTGTCACTCCAGCCAGTCTATTCGCTCTCCGACATCATCAGTTTTTCCCTCTTTACTAGACTATTCCCATCATCATACAACA